AAGCATCGTATATTGGTTCTCTGTGTAATTACAGCTTATCTGGAAATAACAGAGTAGCAACCGTGGGCGTTCAATCATGCTCATGCTCATGCTCAATTCGTGAAAGTCACGAAATCACATGCACCTTACACCTCCGAACCGAATCATCCTTCAACCCAGAACCCAATGCAATGGTGTCCCGTCAGTATTTCTGAAGAAGCATATATGGAGTGTAATTCAATAAAATTGAAAGTCTATTTTCAAAAGTTATTTTAAAGCTACAATAGAACTGCATAATCACATACTGCTATTCAAATTTTAAAAATTTTCGTATTATTTTAATAACACTTTTTCAAGACAGTTTGGCAGATAATTTGTTTAAATCGGCATTACACGTGACGACAGGCCCTAAACACTAAACGAAATTGAGTAATAGTTTCCACCATCAAACCCGACAGATGTCACACCGCTAATGGTGGATAAACCAGTTTTGCAGCATGGAAATTATCGTTGATTTCAAAGTTTCATGCAAATCGAAGAAGGTCAAGTTAATTTTTTTTAACTATTTGTCCTGGAATTTCTCTACAGTGAAGCAGTCAATTTAAAGCGTGCCATTATAAGTTAAATTTTACATTAGTGCTGCTTGGTAAGTGAGTGAGTAAAATGTTTCCTCACTTTTCCGGGAAAAACTGCATGATTATGAGGAAATTCGACAAAAAATTTACTCAGTCTAGGAGTTTTCTTAAAGACTGAGTGAAGTATCTCTCGATATTTCTATTATTGGAGAAGTTTTTCCTGGAAAATAGTGGAACATTTTACTCATTCACTGAATAACCCCACTTTTGGCGATTTTGAAACAAATTCAACTAAATTTTAAGTTACTCTTATTGACCGCGTAGGTCTTGCCCTTCAGGGTCCGGTTGGAAAATTAGTCGGGGAAAGTGCTGATAATGTGTCCGTCGCGAGTTTTGGTGGTGATTCGGTGACCAACGTTGCCGTGAATCAGCAAGTTTACGTCTTGCAAAAGTGTTCGTCTGTTGGTCTCTCGCCAGTGTCGGAGATTATGAGCAATCTGAAGGATGCCTCGCTGGATACGCCCAAGACTGGACGGGCGGTAGCTGGTGGCCGTGAACTTTTCCTGGGGAAAGCACTAGACGAGAACCTCCTCCCAGATGACCCTGGCAATGCAAGAAAATTTGTTTTCGTTGAAGGAAGCATTACAACAAGGGTAATTGCTATTAGATATCTTTGCAAACAATGACAGATAGCAGACATGAAGCTCAAGAGGGGGTGCCGGGCAAAGGTGTTATATTCTAGACCAATGGTAAGTTACAAATTCGCTGTTGTCGTCGTCGTAGTCACCGTAGGCAGAACCGTTAGTATATTTAAAATTGACCATCAGCCGATGAAACTATATGAATTATCGCGTATTTCTGTTGTTCATTACATACCAAATGAAAACTTAATCATATTTTGTCGTGAAGTGTTGTGATGTTGAGATGCTCGATAACCCTAGATTGATCGATTTTGCTTAATGAGCAGAATATCATGATGTTTGTGCATCGTCGATTATATATGCCACTACCCTACCCACTATACGATTCTAGAAAACAATATAAAATACAATAAACAGTATCTCGTATGCCTCCGCCATGGCAGGACGGCGAAGCAATCGGTGCGTTTTAGTTCTATCCGTCTTCGTAATTATCACAAAACTCAACACAACGTAGGGATCCCGCCCGTGCGCGATCACATGGGTTTAATCCCAAGCTCTCCCACAACATAATAAACCACCATCGTTGGGTTCCGAGAGCATAAAAAGCAGTTAATAACCAATAAATTAATTGTTTAAACTATGAGTTTCGGAAAGGGTGTATGCGTGATCTAGTTTGGACGAGATTGTTGGCTGCTTTCAGAGACGTCGCTTCATTTGAATAGCTTTTTGTTAAGTCGCTCGTAGATTGTGATAATGTAAGGGGCACGGTGGCTATAGAGCAACCGTTTTTGCTTAATGAGTAGAAGATTGTTGAAGTAGTTCATTTCATTGTAATATCTTCTTGTAACCGATAATGAACGATCGTCGGTCGTAGCTTGTTGTGATGTAAGGGGCATGGTGGCCTTGGAGCGACCGTTTTTGCTTACTGAGCAGAAGATCGTGGGTTAGAACCCAAGCTCCATTACGTTACTGAGCTTAACAGCTTGTAAAAGATCGCATCACTTCCCAATGTGAATCCAGATCTAACTTACCCTTCCCACTAACAAAAACCTCCTTTCCATCACAACCGTGAAGATGCAGAGGTATACTTGTCTCTAGTAACTACGGTTGTTGAAATAACAATCCTTTCCCTCCCCGATGACCGTAAGGACGTGGCCGGCGCCGTTATTGACCTCAACAATTAAAAAATAAGGATTCTCTGGATTTTGTATACTGAAAATGGATTGCTAGTCTCAAGCCCCATTCATATGGTTTTTTTGCAAATTTCGCTATATCTGGTCAATCACGGAGTTGCAACTACACAGAAAAAAAATCTTAATTTTAACTATCGCGTAAAATAACCCTTAGTTTAATTTTGAGCTATAGTTGGCATAAACAACGAAATCGTTTACTAGCTTGCATACAATATTGCTAATTTATGTGATATTGCGCTTAAATTTACACGAAACATCGCGTAAATTTACGTGAAATCTAGCGTTAATTTATTTGCGCTATATCTCGCAGAAATTAACATGAAGTTTTCAAATGGTGTACTGAAATGTATGGTCGTCAATGCTTATGCTCATGCTGCTCATTGAACGCGTGTAGGTTTTGCCCTTCTGAACAACTTTACTGAGGACAGCAAACTTCTATCCATTCGAGCAGTCAAGTGCAAGCAAGCAACTAGAAGTTAAATGGTACACTAGCGCCTCGTGGTGGTGGAATTCTCTATTTAATTGACCATGTTTTGTGCATCTAATCAACTTTCTGTTTATTTCACCTATCAAGATAGAGCAAGAGAAGTAATATGTTACGCTAGCGTCAGCAGGTCAGATAATTCTGGTAATCAACCAATAGGAATTATAAATCTTAACAACTTTGCTCAAAACTGCAACCTTCTATCTATTAAAGCAGTCATGATAAGCAAGCAACTACAAGTCAAATGGCACACTACCACCGCGCGGTGGTTGAATTCTCAACTAAACTCCACCATTCGATGGGTCTTGTCCATCTGAACAACTTTGTCAAAGAAAGATTCTGAACATCAGGAAAATGCACGAACATGCTAAAAGAAGTTGCGTAAGCTTCAGGGCGTGAATTTAAGCGTGAATTAAAATCTGCAACAGCCAGCGTCAGTGTTCACTCGGCTGTCGACAGCAGCAGGCCACTCTCGATGTGTGTCAAACAATCGTGCAGCAACCAATGTGTGGTTCTCCTCATTGATCTTCATCAGCAGTTCTTTCAGTCGAAGCGTCGTCGACTTTGGAAAGCAACCGTTTCGTGATGAGTGTTGAGTACTGACCACGTTTTGCGTTCATTGCTGCAATTGAAGTACTCTGCCCCCCGTTCGCGATACTGCCATACAATGAAACCACTGGAAGTGTTTATAGTGTTGAACTTTTTGACTATAATTATAAGATATTTTGTATAGTGAATAATAATCATCAAATCTGTAAAGTTAATTCGATTAAGAGTATTATCAAATAAATGAATAAACAAAACAAAATACAACCACACACCTCATTTCTCAGCTTTCACGAACATCTTCAAACATAGGAAATGATCTATTCAACACAGAGAAAAATGACATTGAATATGTTATTGATGTTTACAATATCGACAATTGCCCGACTCTATTGCCTGTACAGGCAAGTAAATATATGGATTTCGGGGGGTTTCGCCATGGAATAGACTCCTACCGATTGATAAACACATGTCACGAACCGAGGAAAGTAAATTTACGATTATTGACCACCTGAATTAACCGGCGCCGGTGGTGTAGTGGTAAGCGTGACTGCTTTCTAACACCCCGATGGGTCTGGGTTTAATCCCAGCCGAGGTCGGTGGGATTTTTCTGAAGCATAAAAATCTCTGGTCACGTCTTCCTTCGGAAGGGAAGTAAAGCCGTTGGTCCCGGCCCATGATGTGTGTTGAATGGGTGCGATATTCTACGCAGGTGTGGAAGCTGCCTTCCTGCACATTCGATTGCCGTCAATGGATGGCAATCGATGTCCGTCGGTGATTGGCACTAGATTGCGGAACAGAGACCGACGTTAAATAAAGGAATGAAGAAGAAGAAGACCACCTGAATTCACCTAATGCGTGCCAGTTGTTTACTTTTTTACTGTTCATTTAAGGGGGATTGGATAACCTATAAGGGAATAATGCATATTTTAAACAATATGTTATGTTGATGATATTGTTACAAGTTTAGACTCGTTAGTCACATCATCTTGGTGCATAAAAAATGCGTAGGTTTTATTTCATTCCGCAATAAAATCATGCCGGTACTTTTCTTTATTGGATAGTTTCTTGCTTCCGAGAAGCAACACATATTATTCTTCCACGAGACAACAAAGTGACGTACACGCCACTATGACAAATTTTCACAATTTGCATTTTCATATTCAGTATCAATTGACGCCATAAAACTTGAATTTGGATCATTCTTTATCATAGGAAAGTTTGTTCTACTTTGTTGCAAAATGTCGATTTGAAATCTCGTTTTTGCAGTTAAGTAACATTCGTAGAACTAAATATCAAAAATTTAAATTCGATTTTTCCTGACAGCTTCTTGCATGGGGATGTCAATTAGGGTTATGATTATCGATGAAAAGCAAACTTTGGTACAAATTTACCGATTCATAATGCCTGAATATAAAAAAAGCTTCTCCTGAACAATTGATTTTGGCGCTTACCTCACATTGCTGTCACACTGCATTCGTGACAGGCACGGCCAATGTAAATCCCCTGAAAACCTGTTTTGGTGTTCCACCTTCTTCGCTCATCATTCTTAACGGTGCTAGATTTCAGAATAAACCAGTCGCGCTCAACAGGCCATCGCACCACAATGTTTGTTTCTATTTCAATCATTTTAGTCAGTCTCATGTGCATAGCAAACGCCCAGTCGTCAAATAAATTCGAAGGTAAAGCCATTGCTGATTTAATTCTTTCGATACACATCACCAACTGCATTTGAATTTCAGCAACATTGGGCTGCTTGCAGTACAACACCAACCATGGCTACAAGCATACACATCCGTATTATCCCACGAGCCAGTTCCGACACGTGAACGTCACCTTCGATGGTATCAAAGTGTTTCGAATGGGCGTTCTGGGTCACAACGATGGTCACATTCGCTTGTCGCCAACCATGTTCCCGTACGATAATACCGAAATGAATGAAATTGGTGAGTATAATTAAAACCGGTTCCGAAATCTTCCTCAATACGACTTCTTTGTAGTTCTATCCGGATGGGGCAACACGAAAACAGTTGTTCGTCGCTACACTCGAACCTCACCCGAAGAACAAATTAGTGAGATTGTACTGAAGGAACAATCGAGCATCGGAATGCTGTCGTACTTTCAGCCGTTTATGTTCACCATGGCAGTGCATCCAGGCGGATTGGTGCAGCTCACGAGGGATGAAGATTCGGCGCCATTTCTGGAGTTTAGTGACCGGAAACTGTCTGAAAAATATATAGGATTTTGCAATTGGGACGTCCCGCTGGTGTTTTTCTACGATTGTCCACTGGAAGTGGATCAGAGGACATGTGACGGAATTGTGTTTAGCAAGTAGTGGTTCGACATTAGTGATTTTTAATACATTGTGTATGATTCATAGTTGAAAACAATCTCTTGCTCTGTTATAAGTGGGAACATCGCATTCGATAATTTGAAAGAAGTTTTATGTTCTTGAAACGGAGGCAGTCCGGATTTAGTATGATTTTCAGAAATGCACACTCAACAATGTTCGGCACAGGACATATTATTGGAAGGTACATACGTGTTACGACGCATATGTAGGTAAAGTAAAATACTCAGTTTTACGGATTCTAATAAAAATCTGTTCTTTTCATTTGATCTCCTCAAGATTTATGGCTGTTTCATACGGGACAGTTTGCAAGCTACAAAGGTATTTGTCAACAAGACCATACGCACCAAATTTGCGTTTTAGCTAGACGAACTTTTATGTTAAGTAATTGACATATACAAATTCTGGTTATTCCACTCTCTGGGAACCATGTTGAACTTATTAGTCATATAGGCTAATTGAGCGCGCAATATTTGATGTGATAATAGAAGTTGTCATAAGGATAGAATTTCCGGACTTTATATCTCCAAATCTTCAAAATCTTTCTTTACACAGTTAAAAAAAAGTAGTGTAAATTTATGTTACTATGATGCGCATAAATGGAGCGATATATCATATAAGTTCACTTCATAGATCGTGTAAATTTATGCGACAGGTCATGAAATTTTGCATATATTGTCTGCAAAATGCAATGAATTTATTATTCATAGAAATATATTCACCTAAAATTAGCTACATAGTAGCTCCATGTCAAGGAGCCAGATATGTTGTGAATTCATCGTCTCTTTTATTCTGATCAATAAAAAATCTGGATTTTTACCACCGCGGTAATTTTGTGTATACCGACATCTCGTTTTTGAGCAGTTCCACGGCAAATGACGAATCGATCAGACTCGACCTTCTCAGAGTTGCATGATACTTTGCATGATTGTGTGTTATGAGCAATCATTCACATTTGTGCTCAAGTTCGGCCATTTCGAATCTTGCATTTTTTTTTTCAAAATGGCGTTTTTAATTTTTTTAATAAATTGTAGCATGGAAACGTCACTAAAAATTGAAATGACGTCTGAGACAAAGTTTTAGGGAAAAATGAACTCATTATAGGCAGTGTTAAATGTTGAATGGCTCAGAAGCAAATTGATAGCTGATCACAATAAAAAACGATCTGACTCATAGCAATCTTTAAACACCGTTTAAAAATTTTGCTCTGCTCTTGAACTTGAAGTCTTTTTGCCATAAGACAGGAAGTTTTAGACTTGACATTTTGCAACACTGCAATTTCTTCGAAATTGGCGTGTGTCAGATGAAATCTCACTTTCTGATCATAAATACATTATGCTTGAATGGGGTGGAGGTGATTTACCACCTTCTGCATTAAGAGATCCTAGGAAAATAAACTGGCATATTGAGCACAGTGCTTAGATTCAGATATATTTACAAACGACGTAAAGATTGATTCTATCCAACAATTGGAATCATTTTCTGAAAAGGTAAACGAAAGAATTATAAATTCCTACAACAGTAGCTTCATATCAAACAGTCGCCTTCTAACAGGGATGTGCCGTGGTGGAATTTGAAATTGGAACGCCTTCGGAAAGTTTCTCGTAAGATGTTCAATAAGGCGAAAATCACTTCTGATTGGACTAAATATAAGAAAACCCTATCTGAATATAATAATGAAATACGGAAATCTAAGAGGCGATCTTGGATTCAAATGTGTGAACATATAAACAGTACTCCTATAGTCACGAGATTACAGAAAACTCTTGCGAAAGACCATACGATTGAATTTGTCAATCTTAAATGTCATGATGGAGGTTTTACCAAATCTCCCTCTGAAACTTTAAATTTAATGATGGAAACACATTTTCCAGGTTCGGTATTGTGTGTGGAATCAGATATTTCTGATTCTGTTGGTGAAATGTGTTCTATAGAGACCTCGCCAGTGTCTCAGAGAACAGAAAACACCATACCAGATATAACTGATGAAATTTTCACAATTGCCAGAGTGGAGAATGCTGTGAGATCTTTCTAGCCTTTTAAATCTGCGGGTGTGGATGGCATATTCCCGGCACTACTTCAAAACGGTGAAGCAATGCTGATTCCGTCTCTTTATAAGGCGAGTTTAAGATTAAACTACATTTCATCAAAATGGAGATTGGTAAGAGTTATATTCATACGCATAAAACGCAGCCAAAAGCATTTAGGCCCATTAGTCTCTCATCAATTTTACTGAAGACTATGGAAAAGGTGTTGAATGACTTCATCAATTCAACTTACATGTTAACGCATCCAATATCTAATTTTCAGTTTGCGTATCAACCTGGAAAATCAACAGTTACTGCTCTCCATTCTTTGGTAACTAAAATCGAAAAATCACTTTCAGTTATAGAAATCACACTTTGTTCTTTCTTGGATATTGAAGGAGCTTTTGACAATGCATCCTATTCTGCTATGGTTGACGCCATGAAGAAAAGGAACTTCGTTACGCACATCGTCAACTGGATTCATACTATGCTTGCAAAAAGAAATGTCACTTCTGGGCTGGGAAGCTCATCTATAACAGTAAAGGCAACGAAAGGTTGTCCTCAAGGAGGAGTCTTCTCACCACTAATGTGGTCTTTAGTTGTAGATGATCTTCTAAGAAGCCTAGAGGTGAAAGGTTTCGAAGTTGTGTACTTTGCAGATGATATAGTCATCGTAGTTAGAGGAAAGTTTGACACTATCATTTCAGAAATAATGCAACAAGCTCTAAAGTTTACCCAATCTTGGTGTATTAAGGAGGGCCTAGATATTAATCGTTCCGTTTACTAGAAAGAGGAAGTTCAACCTAAAAGAGTTCAAGCTTGGAGGAGAACAGATCCATCTTAGTGAACAGGTCAAATACCTAGGGGTTATATTGGATGCCAAGTTGAATAGGAATGCTCAGATTTTTTTTTTAACTTTTTATTTGTTCTAAATTCAAAATAAATTACATTTCATTTTAACCTAGGTGCTCCAGTTACTGCAGTAACTTACCAGCCTTATTTGTTATGATATATATCTAAGTGTTTTTACATTGTTCCTGTCTTGGCAATTCAGTATTTTAAACAGGTTTTTTAAACCTGCATGTCAGTATAATTGAGGATTGCAACGATTTTTGCCTAAAATTATTAATTATTTTGTTGGACATTTGTTCTAAAGTCTCAACATTCGAAATTCTATGTACTTCGGTAGTACTATACCAGGGAGGCAACTTCAAAATCATTTTCAGAACTTTGTTCTGAATCCTTTGAAGTGCTTTTTTCCTGGTAGTGCAACAACTAGATCATATTGGAACAGCGTAAAACATGACTGGTCTAAAAACTTGTTTAAATATTAGAAGTTTATTCGTCAGGCAAAGTTTGGATTTCCTGTTTATAAGACGATACAAACATTTTATATATTTGTTACATTACATTTGTTACAACTCCTGCTCTAACAGGTAATCTATTAGATTTGGAATTTTGATAATTTACCTGCAGAGTTCTGTCAGTTAATTTTGAACTAATTTCATAATGTAAAGCGGAAAATTAAACTTTTTCAATTTAACAATCAAACCTTCATGCCAAACACTGTCGAATGCTTTTTCTATGTCTAGAAGAGCAACTCCGGTTGAGTGGCCTTCAAATTTGTTTGAACGAATTAAATTGGTAACTCTTAAGAGTTGATGAGTAGTTGAATGCCCATGGCGAAATCCAAACTGCTCATCTGCAAAAATTGAGTTTCTATTGATGTGAAGCATCATTCTATTCAAAATTATCTTTTCAAAAAGTTTACTTATTGAAGAAAGCAAACTTATTGAACGGTAGCTAGAAGCTTCAGCTGGATTTTTATCCGGCTTCAAAATTGGAACAACTTTTGCATTTTTCCATTTATCAGGAAAGTATGCCAAATGGAAACATCTGTTAAATAATTTTACCAAGAAAGACAAGGTACTCTCTGGGAGTTTTTTGATGAGGATATAGAAAATTCCATCATCACCTGGAGCTTTCATATTTTGAAACTTTTTAGTTATAGACCTTACTTCGTCCAAATCAGTCCCCCAGGAATCATCAAAAATATTTTCCCGAGAGAAAATATTCAGAAAATCCCGAGCAACCTGATTCTCAATAGGACTAGTAAGACCCAAACTGAAATTATGGGAACTCTCGAATTGCTTAGCAAGTTTCTGAGCTTTTTCCAAATTTGTGATCAAAATTTTACCACCTGCTTTAAGCGCTGGAATTGGCTTTTGAGGTTTTTTCAAATTTTTTGTGAGTTTCCAAAAGGGTTTGGAACTCGAGTCTAATTAAGAAACATTATTTTCAAAAGTTTTGTTCCTCAGGGCAGAGAATGGTTTTTTAATTTGTTTTTGCAAATCCCGCCAGATAACTTTCATGGCAGGATCGCGTGTTCTTTGATATTGTCTCCTACGGACATTTTTAAGACGGATCAAGAGCTGAAGATCATCGTCTATTATAATTGAATCGATCTTGGTACTGAGGCAGCTCTTGCTTCAACTATAGAAGTAGTCAGAGATTCAAGAGCATAATTAATTTCATCTTTGGTTTGCAAAGGAATGTTTGGATCGAAGTTATATTCCATAAATGTTCGATATTGCTCCCAATCAGCCCTATGGTAATTGATAGTAGAGCTGTTGGGATTACAAATTATTTCTTGGGATATTTCAAAAGTTACTGGAAGGTGATCAGAACCGAAGTCAGCATGGGTAACCAATTGGCTACAAAGTTGACATGAATCAGTTAAGACCAAATCAATAGTGGAGGGATTTCCTGCAGAAGAAAAACATGTTGGGCTGTTTGGATATTGAATAGTGTAATAACCTGCAGAACAATCATCAAACAGAATATTACCATTGGAATTGCTTTGAGAATTATTCCATGAGCGGTGTTTTGCATTAAAATCACCAATAATGAAGAATTTAGACCTATGACGGGTAAGTTTCTGAAGGTCACCCTTGAGAAAATTCTTTTGCTGGCCTACGCATTGGAATGGCAAA